TTGAAACAAGAGAAGATGTGGTGCCATAGAGGAATTGACCTTTTATTTAATAACTGGGTGTGCAGCTAAGATGTATGGCAGAGCTGCAGCATCATGGCTTAGCTTTCTGCTGCTCCAGCAGTGTTTATACCCAAACCATGCTTCATCCTGAAACAGCATTTCAGACAAGGGTAAATATAACCAGGATCAAACTTCAGGCTGTGGCAGAGAGGAAATCTTTCCCCTCCTATGCTGCTAATGCAGATCCCTCTGTGGTAGGCAGCCAGAGCAAAACCTCCAGAGATGTGACTACCAGAGCTGCTCCCCAGGTCTTCAGGTGCCAGCCTGGTTTGTGGTTGCACTTTTGGAGGGCAAGCAGTTAGGTTTAAATTATCTTCTGGGGGTGAAGCCCTGGGGTCTGGTGCTGGCAGTGCACCCACATCCATATGAGCTCCCCACCTATATGTTGGCTGGCCATGCCAGCAAGGGGTTGGGGTGTGTTTATTGCTGGGGCAAAGCCTGTGTGCGTAGCTGTCGCGCACAGTCTCCCCCCGCTTCCTCCTAGTTTACCATCTCCTCCCTCCTAATCTTTCGATAAACAGCTTTAACCTTTGAAAGGGAAGACTGGATCTGACGTAGGCACTGCTGCCTCTGCTTGGAGGAGCTGTGCTTGGGCGGCTGCCCTTGCACTGGCACCCCTCAAGCCTACCATGGCACCAGACAGACATCCAAGGCTTTGCCTGTTTGGAGGATTTTATTACCAATTGCTGAAACCCATCGGTTCTGGGTGAAGCATGGTCAGGGTGGCACCAGCACTGCTCGGTGCTGAAACAAAGACATCTTGCTGTGGTTGGGCTCCTTCCCAAAAGAGGAGGATTTTAGCGTGGAAGCAGTGGCTCAAACTCTTGCACAGTTCCTGAAGGCACTTGATGTGCTGAATTCCTTAAATAGTTGAGATAGGTGTGTGATCCTGAACAGTGGTTGTTATCATGGGGTGTTTCACTTGTCCTCATCTCCCCGTGAGCTGGTGTCTATGCCCCATGCTCTCTCTGGTCATAATACATGCCTGAAATAACAGCCCAAACATAAAAATAGCAGTAGCTTGGGAGGCTGGTGTTAAAACTAGACCTGTGTCCTTAACATGGATGTGTTCCAGCCAAGACGGCAAATGCCGATGATTCTCACTGGATTAAATGGTTCAGAGGTCTGGGAAGAGCTTGCAATGACTAATGGCCTGAGTTAGCATCCAGCCTACCTCCACATTTGTCCTCGCGTCTGTCCTCACAACCGGGGCTCTCTGAAGAGCCCCAGGGTCTCTAGATGAGATTGAGAAGGTAGAGCAACACCAACGGTGCAGCTGTGGTTGGAGAAGCTGGACTTCTTGCTGCTTCAGCTGGCTCTTGCATTGTAGCTCTGCAGATGGGAATCCAAAGGGGAAAAGCAGTTCACCAAAGGTTTCCAAAGCAATTATCAGTGTGGTGTCTGAACGACGTGGGTACAGGGCTGATAGTGCTCTGTGGTTTTAACCTTGTATGACTGCTTGTTTGTTCTTTTTTTTTTAAAAAAGATTAAGAACAGCTTACACACTGGAAATACTTTCTTTTCAACAATCCCTTTATTTTAGTAAATACCTGTTTCCTGTCTTCAGCTGTTTCCAAAGGCAAGGAATTGAGCTTGCAGAAACCTTTCAATAAAAATTGGGAATTGAAGCCTGTCTCTTGAACATCTTGGAAATGTCAAATTTGGCATCAGTCTATGCCAAACGCGAAAATGGGCTTGAAACTATCTTGCAGAAATTGCTGGTAGTGCTGCCTTTGACTTTCACCCATTGAGTGATGAAAGGCAAAGACTGGTAAAATGTGGTTTTGGGTAAAACCTGTGTATAGAAGCAGCTGCCTGAAATGATGTGCCAAGAGGCAAGAAGAGAGTTTGGTGACTTCTTTGGAGTTGAAAGACTGAAGAACAGATCTTGGCAGCACTGGCCTGGCACAAGATACCACTTCTCTTTTATTTTTCTTCGAGTCTTGTAATTGCACATTATTGCAGTGGGTGGTGAGAGTGAAGCCAGGAAGCCTCTGGCTAAATAATCAGAAAAATAAACTGTTCTGCAAAAGCTGTTTGCAGCCAAGATGGAGCTGACTGCAGGTAGAAAAGCGTGTACTGAAAATGACTCAAGATCAGAGTTAAGGGGTGATGCTAGAAAGATGGGGAATGTAGGGTGTGGAGGTCTTGGTTGCGCAGTTGTTGGAATGCCCAGTTGTCAGCATGTTGGGAGCCAGGATCTACTTGGTTGGTCCTTGTATGGAATCATATACTCATTTATGGTTAGTGTTTGAAGGTGCTTATCAGAGTAAAACTACTTGATTCTTTTTCTTTTAAAGAGACAGCACATTGACTAAAAAAGCCCACACATAGCTGTAACCTTTTGTATAGATCTGTCCCCTAACGAAGGGAAGCAAGTGCCTGGGAACAACCCAGCAGGAGATAATCTTCTCATGCGTGGTGTCGCTCCCTATTCAACTACTACCCCAAGTAAGGAAGCTCAGCTGCAGGGATGGCACTTGCAGGTCTATGGGGTGACTTCGGTTGTTACTTTAGGACCCCTTCTTAGTGCTCATATGGGTAAATGAGGTGAAAGCCACTTAGTGTGGTGGCTTTGTTT